AAAGCTGCACTGCAGTGAGACTTGCCATCTCTAACCAAGGAGATTACAGTATTTCCCCTTCAGAGCTGCTGAGATCAGCACCTGGGAACCCCGGAGACTGCGCACTGCGGTGTCCGCTGACCAATCCGGGGGGGCGGGGGGGGGATACTGGGCACACCGACATCTCGGGCCCCCCTGTTTCTGAGGGACTGCACGCGTCGGTCATTGCTGCCACGAACCTCTGACGCCTGCCTAAGGAGGCCCCCAGTCAGGGCATATCTCCCTGTGCTCTCTACGTGCCTGCTCGTCCCCATCCTAGAGACGGGCAGCTCTCATTTTAATTCAGCCAACACAACGGTGATGTGACAGCAAAAGCTAATTGACCTGAATGCAGGTAACATTCCTTCCAGTCCACACCTCCCTAAACAGTTGGTAAGATTTCATAAATCTTTATCCATATGCGCATCTGGACAGCCATGCCTTCCTCCGAAGGGAAAAAACATCCCACTAAGAGCCTCACTCAGAGTCCCGCTCCTAAATCTATGAAAAACCAAAACGAAACAGGAAAAGTCGAAAAAAAATTACCCCCCCCCCCCCACTGAGTCTTAAGATGTTAACTTTTAGTATGAAAAAAAGAAAGGATTTTTCTTCTTCAATGGGCATTTCTATTATCAACGCACTTTTAAAAACCAAAGTTGGCAAGTTTACAAGATATCCATTTGCATTTAGGGAACAAGAGCCCCTTTACTTTGAAGTATATGCTCTCTGATCAAATAGAGCTATTTTTTAAAAAATTATCTATACTAATAAAAGGGTAATATGCTAATTAGACCAGACATCTTCCGGATGTCCTTCCAGACAAAGCCATGGTGGCAGGGGCCGAGGCAGAGGCGGTGAGGGGTGGCCAGGCCAGCAGGGGGGAGCAGTTAGGGGCGATCAGGCCGGCAGCGGGGAGCAGTTACAAAGCCAGCAGGCAGAGGTGGTTAGGGGCAATCAGGCTGGCAGAGGAGCAGTTAGGAGCATCAGGCTGACAGGCAGAGGTGGTTAGGGGCGATCAGGCAGGCAGGCAAGCAGTTAGGAGCCAGCGCTCCCGGATTGCAAGAGGGATGTCAGACAGCCCCGAGGGGTCCTGGGTTGGAGAGGGTGCAGGCCAGGCTGAGGGAACCCCCCCCTCCCCATGCACGAATTTCGTGCACCGGGCTTCTAGTTAATTATAACTTAAATTACCCCCAAGAGCAATTTCCTACATTAATACCTAACATCATATTCCCAAAATTATTTTTGTGGTTGTTTGGTCCAAATATGAATTTTAAAAGGCTGAAATCAACTGAGAAATAAACAGCAATCTAAAGAATGATCATCTTTTGCTTCACAGTGAGATTCGTAATGCGGGTTCCACCACTTAACTTAATTCTGAAAAAAAGACACAAAAACTAGTGATACTTAGTTATTAAGTGTTATTCTCAAAAATACCTCATAAATAAAAATCTACCACCCCATTCCACCCTCAGGATCCTACCCACCAAAAAGAAAAAAAAAATCCTAAGAAAATCTCTCATCATGCTGACGTGAGGCGCCTTGGAGCAGTCAGATTAAATCGTGGCCATTGCTACACCCAATTACAGAGGGTTCCGGGCTGAAGTCTACTCACACAGTTGAGGATGATGAGCAAACAGCTGTCCTGTGTCTTGAGACAGACATTAGCGTCCTGCCTTCCCTAAGCTCATAAGCAGCTACTTAAAGTTTGAGTTTTGTGCAAGAAAACATGTTAAAGCTTCAGTGCTTTCCTGCAGCAGACTTCAGATTCATTCCTGTAACACAGTCAACAGGAAACAGAGTTGAGACAGTTAAAATCGACCACGTACATTGTCATTGCCTAAAAGTTGAAGGGGCGCTTTCACTATCACAGTTAGATCAGAAAGGGGGGGTGAGGCACAATTCAGAAAAAAAATAATCTCATTTGGATTTGACACCAATGTTTAATCTTGCAACAAGTAACTTTACCATACTTTTTTTTGCCTGGCCATAAGCCAGGGGAGCAAGGGTTACCTTTTTCAATCATTTGTAAGCAAAGTAAGCCAACTAGATTGTTGTTTTTGTCCCCGAAGGCCTGGCTAATTTATTCAGCATAAACAAGTAAAGAATAACATTTACAGCGAAGGTGGGACCTCAGGGTCCCCACACTATCCCTGGGACCCTCCCGCTTGGGGAGGATGAGATTCTGGGTCCTGCTGTGACAGGAGCAGCGGCCACATTGCTGACATTTGCTCTGAAGGTTCTAGCGCATCCCCCCCGATCCAAGTGTCTGTGGCACCATTATTGCTACAGGCTGATCAATGTTACAAGGCTTGTCTGAAAGATAAAACCGCATTCACTCAAAATATCCCAGAACACCCAGGTAACGACCTTCCCCTACATATACAATACTGGAGGCCCGGTGCACGAATTCGTGCACTGGTGGGGTCCCTTGGCCTGGCCGGGGATCGGGGCCACAGGATATTGGCTGTGGGAGTGCATTGACCACCAGGGGGCAACTCCTGTGTTGAGCGTCTGCCCCTTGGTGGTCAGTGTGCGTCATAGCGACCGGTCGGTCGGTCCCTTAGGCTTTTATAGATATAGACTGGCCTCAATTTCTACAGTAAATTTTAGGGAAAACTTTAGGATTTCACAAACATAGTAAACTTACTATTTATATTAGCAACATGGTTTAAAAATGCCGTGAGCGCCCTTGCCGGTTTGGCACAGTGGATAGAGCGTCGGCCTGCAGATGAAAGGGTCCTGGGCTCATTCCAGTCAAGGGCACGTACCTCGGTTGCAGGCTCCTCCCCGGCCCTAGCCTTGGTCAGGGCCCATTCAGGAGGCAACCAATTGATGTTTCTATCTTTCCCTCTCCCTTCCTCTCTCTCTAAAATCAATGGGAAAACATCCTCTGGTGAGGTTAAAAAAATAAAAAGTAAAAATGCCATGAGAAATAGCAAACACTAAAATTTCATAAATTTTCAAGTATTATTTAATGCTGAAATATATATTTTTAATATATATTTTTATTGATTTTTTTACAGAGAGGAGGGGAGAGAGAAAATTAGAAACATCGATCAGCTGCCTCCTGCACACCACCTACTGGGGATGTGCCAGCAACCAAGGTACGTGCCCTTGCCCGGAATCGAACCTGGGACCCTTCAGTCTATAGTCTGACACTCTATCCACTGAGCCAAACCGGCCAGGGCAATAATGCTGAAATATTAATTACACCTTTGCTATGCCCTATAAGATGACTGAAGCTTTCAGGGCTCATTTGAAACAATCAAATGCTTCTTTATAATCTATTTATACTACACTTATAATTCCAGGCCCTCGCTGCCACCTCAGTTAGAGCATCGTCCGTATACACCAAGTTTGCAGGTTCAATCCCACCCAGAGCACATACAAGAATCAAACAATGAATGCATACATAAGTGGAACAACAAATCAAGGTTTCTCTCTCTCTGTCTCTCTCAAATCAATAAATAAAATGTAAACACATGCCGGGAGCCGGTCCATCCTTGCTGTTTCAAGGGACCTGGCATATATGGCATACTGTTCTTAATATGTTTGCTCACCTTCTTGGCACTATGTGTTTTAACCAAGGTCACCTCTCTGAGAAAGGTTGTTTCCCCAGGTAGAGATTTTCCCCTGAAGTTAGGGAGGGGGTGAAACTCCTTAACTAAGTGCCAGGCGGGTAGTTAATCACTTTAACTACAA